TCGAGCTTGACGTCGATTTAGAACTCAAGCCGACATGAAATACTCCAAATTCTTGTGATCAGTGTATATGGTCACTGGGTATGCAGCTCTTTCAAGAAAGCGATGCCATTCTTGGAAAGATTCTACTATAGCAAGAAGTTCCTTATCGTGGATCTCATAATTGATTTCAGCAGCAGAGAACTTTCGAGAATAGAATGCAATCGGATGGAGCTTCTTGTCTTCTCCCATTTGTAAAAGTACAGCTTCCAAAGCAAAATCCGAAGCATCAGTTTCTAAATAAAAGGCCTTTTTAAAGTTTGGATGTACCAAGATTGGAGCCATAGTAAATGCGGACTTCACGGCTTGAAATGCCTTCTCCGCTAGAGGTCCTCATTCTAGCTTATTCTTGCATGTCAACCGAGTGAGAGGAGCAGCAACTTGAGAGTAATTCTTGATGAAGATCAGATAGAAGTTGGCAAAACCAAAAAAGCATTATACATCTCTAACAGTCTTCGGAACCTCCCAGGACACAATTGCTTCCACCTTCTTAGGGTCCATCTTCAAGTCTTGTGTAGTTGCAACGAACTCCAAAAACTCCATCTCCATTTGGTGAAATAAACACTTCTCCAACTTGGCATATAGTCCTCGCTCACGTAGTTTCTCTAAGACCAAATGAACGTCTTTTTCATGCTCTTCCTCATTTTTGGAGAATATCAAAATATCATTCAAGTAGATGACAACAGAATCATCAAGGTGCTCTCGGAAAATGTCATTCATCATATGTTGAAAGATCGCTGGAGCATTGGTAAGACCAATTGGGCATGACATTATACTCAAAATGACCATACCTTGTACGAAACGCTGTCTTCCACTCATCTCCTTCCTTGATTCGTACGAGGTTGTAAGCTCTCCTTAGATCAATTTTTATAAAGATCCTTGCACGTCCAAGTTGTTCTAAGAGACCAGAAATCAAAGGTAACGGGTAACAATTCTTCTTTGTTACCTTATTGAAGCCTCGATAGTCCACGCACATCCGCAATGAGTCATCTTTCTTCTTCAAAAATAAGATGGGTGCTCCAGTTGATGATTTTGAATGACGAAAGAAGTTCTTGGCTAGATTCTCGTCGATGTACTTCTGCAACTCCGCGAACTCTGTCTGCGATAGATTATAGATTAGGCCAAAAGACAATTGTGTTCCTTCTTGTAAGTCTATGGCGCAATCATATGGTCAGTGATTTGGTAGCATGTCAGTATTCTTCTTTTGAAACACGTCTTTAAAATCCTTATATTGCTCCGGTATACTTGTTGTCGAGATCTTCTCCCCAGTAGTTGGAGTCGCATAAATGACAAACGGTGTGCTTTCCTTGGACGATCTTATAAACGCTCTTACTCCAATGAATAAGGATTTCTCTATTCGGGATTTTCTACTAGGCTTGCTCTTGGATGGTTTTGTAGGAAAGGTCATCTTCCGCAACCTCAAATCTATGGATGGATTATGGTTTTTCAACCAGGAAAGAGCAAGAATAATAGGATTTGATAGGGTTCTAATAATATTAAAAATAATTTAACTACTATGGCCCTTAAACGTCACTTCTATAGGTTCTGATTCATGGGTGACACTACCAGACAATAAAGGTTGTCCATCTATGACCTCAACGTGAACATGTTTGGATTTTTGTACTAAAGGAATTTTATGACGCTTCGCAAATTCTTCATCTAAGAAACAAGCAGATGCTCCTGAATCTAATAATATTAAGGTTCTCAGTTTTTAATGGCCAATAAACAAAGGGATTGTAAAGCAAAGGGTAGGTTGAGTTGAAAGAAAGGAACTTGGTTGTTGTTGCGATATTTCACTGTCCAGCCGCACGGTTCTTATTGTGGCTGGGCATCCTCGTTTTCTTGAACAAACATGCCCCTAGTCTTGATAATACATCGATTTTGCTTCTTGGGGCAGTTTCTATTTTTGTGGCCTTCTTCACTGTAATACAAGCATAGACCTTCTTCCATACGTTATATTTTTTTCTTCTAGAGTAAGGGATTTGACACGTACTGCATCAATTTCTATGTCTTCTATCTCTGAATATGAATTCACGCTGCTTGCCGATATAGTTGGGGCATGGCGAACCGTATGTTGTCTTGAACGTTGGTCTTGGCGGCGTTAGTATAGGCGGTTATCGTACTTCACAGCTTGGCTAATAGCTTTGTTGAGCATTTGCGGATCAGGAAGAGTTAACAGCAAATCCTTCACATCGTTCCTTAAACCCCAATAGAATTGACTCATCAATGCTTCTTCGTCCCAATTGATGTCGCATGCTAATTGCCTGAAATTCGATGCATAGACTGATGTAGAGCGCATCTCTTATCGTAGTAATCGGATCTTTGTTGTAATCCATCGAACCTTGTTGTATTCACCAAATGCTTCCGCAAATGCCTCCAAAAAGGTTTTAAAGTTGTTTAGTATGGACAATCGTTTCTCAAACAAAGGAGCAAACCATGATAGAGCTTGTCCTATAAGTAAGGTTCAAACAAGCCCAACACGTGACTCCTCCGTTGGATAGAGTTTAGGCTGTAAAACTGTTATCAACCTGATTTGGTTGATGAATCCTCAAAACTTGGAACGGGTACCATCGAACTTGTCTGGAAGGCTAACTCGGGGCTCCTTATGTTGTAGAACCAGTGATGCTTATCGAACTTGAGGCAAAGTTGCTTCTCCAAGTGCAAAAGTTTGAGGCTGGTGCAACCTAGATTGTGCCATTCCAAATGTTCTATCATTATGAAGCCTTGCGACGACTCCTTCAATCTCTGCAGTTCTTTGCGATAACGTAGCGAGGGCATTCATGATAGCATCCAACTTGGACTTCAAACTTTTCGTCATACTAATGTCTTGGCCTCCGGCCATTCTAAGAGAAGGACAGAAATGACTTTACAAGAAGACAATATTGGTTTAGAAGAGGGTACTCTGCAATCTCTAAAATGCCTTAAGAGCTTCAAGAAAAGGGATAATCCACTCTCTCCAAGAAGAATAAGACTCCAATATTATAACAAAAGAAGTATCAGTTTAAAGGAGGGTAATCCGCAACCTCTAAAATGGTAGTACACTTCCAAGCAGAGTGGTAATCCACACTCTAACGAGGAAGAAACTAGCTCTGATATCTGAGGTGAGTGAAGTCTCGATAAATTGTCATAGACACAGAAATACAGGCTCGAGATCTAATAAGAAGTTCAAGAAGAACTGGCAAGAACTAGATTAATTAGATGAATACAAGACCAACACCAGAGAGTTGAGCTAGAGCTCTAAAAGATGTGTTGTCGAGACTGAAGAACTCTTCAGCCTTGATTCCAATATATACTCCTATTTAGGAAGCTTCTCAAGCAACTTCTATCAACTAAGATGCTTTTAGAAGATTCCAGAGACTTGCTTCTAGAAGGTTCTAGAAACTTGTCTCTAGAAGGTTCTAAAGACTATGTCTCTAACAGATATGAGACACTATTGATGGCTGAAAAGATCTATCAACCATCTTCAAAGAGAATAAATATTAGAGTATGTGAGAAATATAATTTGTCGCATCTTAGATTTTCTCAACATATGATGACTACTTCTCGTAGAACTTGTCCATAGAAGGAGAGATAATATTATAGATACACATATTTATTCTAATATTTATCTATATGATTAAGTAGAAATAGATAAAATTAGATTTATTTCATAATTTTTCTAAAGAAGCTTCCTAAAATATACATTATTTTGACTTTATGTATATTAATAGTTGATTAATAGGTTAAAAACTTTGTCAATAAGTTAACCACATATTGATAGCTTGTAAAACAAGCTTATTATATGACACACATAAAAAAAACTTGTCTCGTAAGTTAAAATATGTATCTTATAAAGTCAACATATTTTAGAAGTCCTATAAGACATTGCTATGTAGCTCCTAATTAAGAATATATGTGGAAGGAAGAGTGGAGCCTTCATCACTCTTATTAATATCTTTCTAGTTTTTAATCTTGTTTCAAGTATTTTTAATCTTTTTGTCTTTAGCAATAGTCATTTTAATTTAATACTATATCATCTTTATGTGATTTTTCTAGTCTTTTTGAGTAACAAAAGAGTGTATTGATATTTTAGTTCTTTGAGGTTCATATTCTTCATACCTACACATAAAGAGGTTTTGACAATAAAGGCTGGAAAGATTTATGTATATAAGGATAAAGACGTATATCTATAAATAAATAAAAAAAAAAAAAAAAAAAGAAGAATAAAAGGAGAAGAAAAAAGGACATTAGGCATTATCATAGCTATTATGCTTATAGAGGGAGAAAACATAACAACAAAAAATGGAAAAATAAGTTGTCGTACAAAAGGAGATACGAATTTTTATAATAACACTTAGAAATCATATGTAATAGGTAATTTTTGAACCAAGCCTATTAATTCTAAATAAGTTTATATAAACTAAGCATGAGAAGCTATAAGTTTTAATATAAGTAGAGTTTCCATAATAGCAAATATTGGTCAAAAGTTATAGACTTAACAAATATAAAGAAGGAACTTATTCCACCTATTTTAACAAATTTAGAAAAGAAAAAAGATAAGATTAAAGAGAACAAAATTGAAATCTGTAATGAGGATGTTATAAAAGTAATTTATAAAAACAAAGATAAATTTGATGAAAAAATTAATTATTTAAGTAATATTTCCACACTAACAAAATCAATGGAAAGAGAAGTGAAAGCAAATGAGAATTTTAGGCATTATGCTCAAGAGATGTTGAAAATTTACAACTCTGTCGGTTTAATGATTGTTTTATCATATAAGCAATTTTAACACAAAAGAATTTATATTAGAAAAAAGAAAAAAGAGTTCATGAAATAAGAAGAGAAGTTATAATAGATACAAAAGATAAATTATGATTTATTTTTAAAGATCTATGCGTTATTTATTCACATGATGATAGTTGTGTGCCAAAAGAGATGATAACTCTGATTACTCCTAATGAAAGAAATGAAAAATATACCAATTTGGATTGTAAGGGTTTGTCATCATTAGTAAACACTAAAAAAGTATCGGCACATGAAAAAGTAAACTGAATGGAGAAACAAGCAAGCAGACTGTTATTTGCCACTTGCACAAAGTATATCCATAGTTCAATGCTGCCAGGTACCAACTAGTGTACCAAGTGTACCTTCACTAAACAACTCCGGCCAACCACTGTTGGAAAAGCTGAACCAAGTATCAATTAAAGGTACAAGCAAGGAACAAGTTGACAACCAACTCAAATATTGTTCGTCAGGACTAGCCACCCTTTAACAGGAGGATTCGATTGTATTTCATCTGGAGGTTGTGAAGTTTCAACTTTAGGCCTCAGTAAGGTTTCATCGAGAGGCTCCAGCCGGGCTCTAACAAAAAGTCCCAACCTGGCCAAAATCCAAGGATTCGATCAGGTTTCAATGGAGGACTTTGATCAAATTTCAATGGGAGACCATGGCCAAGTTTCAATGAAAGACCTTGATTGAGTTTCAATAGGAGACCATGGCCGGATTTTAATGGGAGATCCTGACCGAACTTTGATAGAAGATCCTAGCCGGATTTTGATCAATGACTCTAGCCGGGTATTGTCGAAGATCTTGGCTAGGCTTCGTTCAAACAGTTGGCCAGGATTTGGTCAAAAATTGCACGGCGATGCTCGCGATCTCTTTCGAGCACCTCACAGAAAATCCAAGGAGTAACTTGAAGAAAAATAAAACAGCGTTTCCGCCTCTACAATAAAACAAGGGAAAAATAATTCAAACAAAATATAACAACCATCAAGTAGTGTAACAATAATTTTAGATCCGACCTCGGCAATCGCCATTCAAAATGAATTGGGAGCTTGTAAAAATTGTCCTCCGATTGTTGCATATCAATATTTGTGTCCCAAAATCAAATTTGCGGCGGATGACCTTACTGAATCCATATTGCCGGCACACCTCCCTCCATTTACTCAATCGAGATTTTTTGGCAATTAAGGCAAGGCTACATTCCTTGCGCAAATTGTTGACAGCACGACTCATAGAGATTATAACAACCAACACCATATACTTCCCACGTAAGATCTCGACAGCAGCACTTGTCGCAATTGCAAAAACCCCGACCACGCAAAGATGAATGGTTTTACCTCCGAGAAAATAGCACCTCCAGAGTCAAGTTTATCATACAGAAACTGCCGCACGATGACAAACCTCTTCATCACAAAACATCTCGGCATTGAAGATCCTCCACTAACGGCAAGTACGCCCGCTCTTACTCACTCTGGGCAATTGAATGCATCAACTATTCCATCTGCACAGAAAACAGGCTCACAATGTCACGACAAGCGACAATTGGAACTGCCAGTTACTCAATGGGATGTCAAAATCCAGCCCTAGAAAAACCAGATTGAATACGTAGAAACATTGGAACAACGCTCCTTTGGTAGAGTCCAAATTCATGCAAGTTTCAAGAGCTTCTAGCACGGATTCGATTAGCATGCCTCCGAAATCGCAACTAACAACCACAGCACAATGATGTAAGAAAGCCAATACGGCCTTCCCTCTTATTTGCCCATGAATGGGTGCAATGGTGATGGCAGTGGCGGTCACTCATTCCTTCCATCCAAGGATGGACGGCAAGATAGTTGCTGCAGCAGTGACTCACCCCTTCCATCGAGATGGAAATAGGGGCGACAGCCTTGAAGGCCTCCCCTCCATCCCATCTGTGGATGGCAAGAGAGGTAGTGGCTTTCGTCGCCATCCTTTGGAGTGTATGCTACTTCTATTAGGGATATCCAAGGCGGCTCCACCACCACCTCAGATATCTGCTACTAGTGGAAGAGGGTCAGAATGGCCATTTAAAAATGGCCACCTTTCATTAAATTCTAACCTATAAAATAAACAGGAATTAAAGTTGTCATTAAATGCACAAGCATGGCATGAATTTAGTCCTTTACAAAATAAAAATAAAAATTATAGAAATATAAAAGACATGACAACATATCTAAAGAAGCCAAGCAAATTTCACAACAATTCAAGTAAGATAATAATTACAATAGGCCCAATATAAGTCATATGCAAGATGATAAATTATTTTTTATTTTTACTGATAATATGCAGTTTTGGAAGGAAAAAAGAGCTTTAGAGCATGAAAAGAATGCATTACAAAAAAAAAAATATAAGCTAAAGATCAAGAAATCTATTATTTATCGTAAATAATGGAAAAATATAGAAGGCTTTCAAGAAATTAAGATAATTATTAATGATAAATTGGATAGAAACATTTAATTATAGAAGAAAAAAGTAATGTTAATTTTAGAAATTATAATTAATAAAATTTAGATATTATTTTATTAAGAAGATGTATGTGAAGGAATAAAATTAGTATAAAAATAACAACTTATAGAAGCAAGTATAAATAAAGTTAGAAAAAAATAAGAAAGTGTGAAAAGCAAAGTCATTAGTTGCCCATGTGTAGAAAAGTCAAAGTAGTTAAAACTACTATAGGAAGTAAAAGCCACCTATGGTAGTTATGGTAGTTAGAAATAAATTAGTTTTAATATGTTTTAAATAATATTGGTAAAAATTCACTATAAAAAATCTATATATAACTTTAAAATAATGTTATTATTATCAAAAAATGTTAGGGACATAGTCCTTAGACCTTTCTAGAGACAAGTTTCTAGAACCTTCTAGAAAGAAGTCTCTAGAAACTTCCAGAAGATTCCTTCAATATCCTCTTAGAATATTCTTTAAAGATTCCCTAAAGATTCTTTAAAGATTCCCTTAGAAGGCTCTAGAAGATTCTTAGAATATTCTAGTAGATTCTAGGAAGTTACTTGAGAAGCTTCCTAGCTCTTGGGTAGTTGCTCGAGAAGCTTCATAGTTCTTGGGAAGCTTCTTGATGCATTTCCTTAGAACCATAGGCCAGTAGTATATATAGGAGTCGAGGCTGAAGAGTTCTTCAGTCTCGACAACACATCTCTTGAAGCTCTAGCTCAATTCTCTTGGCGTTGCTCTTGTACTCATCTGATAATCTAGTTCTTGTCATTTCTTCTTGAACTTCTTGTTTAGATTTCTTGTTTGTATTTTTGGTCCGTGACAGTTTGTCGAGACTGACTTTACCTTAATATCAGAGCTGAATCCTTCTTGTTTGAGAGCGGATTACCCCTCTTCTTGAAGGTATTCTAGCGCTTTAGGGATTGCGGATTACCTTCCTCTAAACTGATATTTTCTCAATCACAATATCAGAGCTTAGTTCTTTGAGGCAGAGAGTGGACTACCCCTTTCTTTGGAGATACTTGAGCATTCTAAGGGTTGCGGATTACCCTCTCTTGGACTGATATTAATTCCTTCTTTTTGTTTAGCATAGCTAGTAAAAAAGACTATTAACATCGATTTCAGAGCTTTGCCTTCTTGATAGAGTGTGGATTACCCCTCTTCTCGAAAGCATTGAGGCATTTTTAGAGGTTGCGGATTATCCTCCTCTAAAACTGAAATCGTTTAGTGTTTTTTTTTCTTTTCTCCGAGTAGGTTTTAGTGACAGGTAGTGCTACAATTTTCTCCAAGAGACTTAGCAATTTCTTCTTCTCTCAAAATTTTAATCCATCTATTCTCTAAACATGGAAGTAGACCAGGTCATAGACAGTGCATCTCCACAAGTAGACAATAGAGTGGTAACTCTTGCAGATCTTCAAGCTCTTATGAATAGCGTACGAAAGGAGATTACATTTCTTCGCAATCCAAGTAAAGAACCTCAAATTGATCTAGTGACCGAAGAAGCTAGATGCAAAATTCATAGCCTACAACAAGAGATTATTCGACTGAGAGAAGCAAGACATGTGTCACATACGACCCCTATGGATACTTCAAGGATTAGTACGAAAGAACCAAAAGCGAGTATGCCAGACAAGTTTGACGGAACAAGAGCCAACTTCCGAGGTTTTGTGCAACAAGTACGGCTTTACCTACGCCTATACCCTTCTCGTTATCCGAATGGATTTACCCAGGTTGCTTTCATAGGTACTCTTCTATCAGAAAATGCTCGCTCTTGGTTTGCTCCACTATTGGTGAAGGATTCTCCAATATTGTAAGACCTAGAGGCTTTCATAGAGAGACTTACTGCTGCGTTTGGAGATAGCGATCGAGAAAGAGTGGCTGAAAGAAAGATACAAAATCTGCGACAAGGATCACGTTCTGCTGCAATCTATGCTGCAGAATTTCAACAGCTTACATGTGATCTTGATTGGAATGATAAGGCGTTCATGACACGATTTTGATATGGACTGAGAGATGATGTCAAGAACTTATTGATCACCATGCCTAAGGCAGATACTTTAGAAGAACTTATATCTCAGGCAATTATTTGTGACAACCGCTTCTTTGAATTACGACAAGAAAGACGATCAGGCTGGAGAAATGATGGAGCATTTGCTACATTTTCAAAAGGTCCAGAGAATCACTCCACAGATCCTGAACCCATGCAAATTGATGCGGTACGTTTCAAACTCCTCACAGCTGTGGAAAGGAAGCGACGGTTTGAACAAAACTTGTGTTTATATTGCGGAGAAGCGGGCCATAAAGCTGTAGATTGTCGGAAGAAACAGAAGCCTCAAACAACAAGACTCAGGAGTACAAGCATGCAAGAAAACAAGGATGCCCAGCCACAATAGGGACCGTGCGGCTGGACATCTCAACATCCAAAATTAATCAAGGTCCCTTTCTCTCAGCTCAACCTTCAGATTGTTTTATGGTACCTTTACATCTGGGTATTCAAGAACTACAAGTCGATGCTTTATTAGACTCGGGTGCATCCGCTTGCTTTATAGATGAAGAGTTTGCCAAGCTTCACAATATTTTTCTTGTAAAGAAACTTAAGCCTGTCCATGTAGAAGTCATAGACGGACGACCATTGTCTTCGGGCAATGTTATCCATGAAACTAAACCATTGAAGGTACGTCTTGAAAACCATGAGAGCAATATTGTGTTTAATGTTATCAAGACCCCTTCATGTCCTATCATTTTGGGACTATCTTGGCTTCATAGATATAATCCATTGATAGATTGGAAGTTACGAAAAGTGACATTTCCAACAAACTCCTTGAAGGTGGAATCTGCCAAGACAATGTCTAGAAACAAATCCTTGTTTATAGGTGCAAGGGCTTTCATGAAGGAAGCCAAGCAAAATATACCTCTTGTCATCTTCGCAACTCTGACTCAAGAAGATGCAACTCCGACTTTGGTTATTCCAAAGCAGTATGAAGAATTCAAAGATATCTTTGAAAAGAAGAATGCTGATATGCTGCCAGAGCATCGACCCTATGACTGTGCCATTGAATTGCAAGAAGGAGCACAACCACCTTTTGGACCAATCTACAATTTGTCGCAGACGGAGTTGACTGAGTTGCGAAAGTACATTGACGAGAATCTAGCCAAGAACTTCATCCGTCATTCGAAGTCGCCAACTGGGGCACCAATCTTATTTGTGAAGAAGAAGGATGGCTCACTACGGATGTGCGTGGACTATCGAGGTCTCAACAAGGTGACAAAAAAGAATCGCTACCCACTGCCTTTGATCTCTAGTCTTCTAGAACAACTTGGGCGTGCAAGGATCTTTACAAAGATTGACCTAAGGGGAGCTTACAACCTTGTACAAATCAAGGAAGGAGATGAATGGAAGACAGCATTTCGAACAAGGTATGGCCATTTTGAATACAATGTCATGCCATTTGGTCTTACTAATGCTCCAGCGGTCTTTCAACACATGATGAATGACATCTTTCGAGAGCATCTAAACGATTTTGTTGTCATCTATCTAGATGATATTTTGATATTTTCTAAGAACGAGGAAGAACATGAGAAGCACGTTCGTCTGGTACTCAAAAAACTACGGGAGCGAGGACTCTATGCCAAATTGGAGAAGTGCTTATTTCACCAAACTAAGATGGAGTTTTTGGGATTCATCGCGACTACGGAAGGCTTGAAGATGGATCCAAAGAAGGTGGAAGCAATCATGTCTTGGGAAGTTCCGAAGATGGTTAGGGACGTATAATATTTTCTTGGATTTGCTAACTACTATCGGATCTTCATCAAGAATTATCCTCAAGTTGCTGCCCCCCTCACTCGGTTAACGTGTAAGGACAAGCTTGAATGGGGATCTATCGCAGAAAAAGTATTTCAAGATTTGAAGATGGTATTTACTACAACTCCAATCTTGGTACATTCGGACTTTACAAAGGCCTTTTATTTGGAGACAGATGCTTCGGATTTTGCTTTGGGAGCTGTACTTTCACAGATGGGCGTAGATGAGAAGCTCCATCCAGTTGCATTCTATTCTCAAAAATTCTCTGCTGCTGAGATCAACTATGAGATCCACGATAAGGAACTCCTTGCTATAATAGATTCTTTCCAAGAGTGGCGCCACTTTCTCGAAGGAACTGTACATCCAGTGACCGTATATATGGATCACAAGAATTTGGAGTATTTTATGTCGGCTCGGGTTTTGAATCGGCGTCAAGCTCGGTGGAGTATGTCGCTATCCAGGTTCGACTTTGTTATTACTTATCGGCCTGGGAAGCAACAAGGGTTGTTCGATACATTATCAAGGAGATCATATCTCGCGCCAAAGGCTGGAGATGCAGCATTTGATCAACAGTGCACGACATTGTTGAAGCCAGAGAAATTTTGGCTCAACGCAGCTATTGTACTAATTGATGCTCACTTCCTCGACCAAGTACGGGCCGCAACCATTGAAGATTCTCTAA